TCCTGACCTGTAGCAGCTATTCTTTTAAGTAGTGAGCTTCTGGAGTTCAAAAACAAAAGGAAAACCACACACAAAACCACCACAATATTGTAAGATTACTGCAGCTCTAGTTTTAAGATTTGGAAGAATGCCTAACAAGGATTAGGATGAGATCAGTCTACTTAAATAGTTTTGTCTAAATCTCTGGAGGCAGAACTTGAGAATATCATGCTAACACAAAACTAAATAAGTTACTATCCAAGAGAATCTCCAAATTTTTTTTTTTTTTGGAGAACAGAGAAGAGTTGTAGTAGAGGTTGCAGCAACTGCAGAGAAATGATCAGAATATTAATTCTGATGTTATATTTCTTTTCCTTAGCTCTTAACAAAATCAAATGATCACTAAAAGACATTAAACTCTTATGTGTAGTCTCAAATGAAGTTGAACTTGGACTGCAATCTTTTAGCAAGTGCATGCTGTCAAGGAACAGAGCAAAAGCTGCACTCCCCTGCCTCACTGCCCGAACCCCAGATTGCAGTGAGGCTCGGGTGTGCACAAAGGTTCAGAGCAGCAGACCTTGAAACAACCATCTTGCGGGAAGCCCATGCATGGACTGCACCAGTGTTAAGAGGCATCTTTGAGCTCTCGTGCCTAAAATGTTTTGAGTTCCTCTAGTGGTGCATTATTTCTAGCTTTGCTGTGCACTGGCAGCCTAAGAGAAGGACAATTCGGTCCTGGTTCCCTTTTAAGCAAAGCAGTATTCAACAACCACAGCAATGTTCAAATAGTCTGGGGGACTACTGTTTGGTGCCACAGGCCCTGCTTGTGCTGGAAAACATTAACCAACCAGCCAGAAGATAAGAAGAACAGGATGTGAACACTTTTGTGGAAGTATAAGTATGATATGCTAAGCAGAAGGCATTATATATTTAATTGCTTATTGACTTTTGATGCCTACGAAATACATCACAGAATCACAAAATATACTCACATGATCCTTCTAATACCAATAGAAGCACACACTATTTATTATATGTACAGAAATGGTAGTGATCAGCTTTATCTATTCCAAAAGACACTATATCTGTAAAATTATGGCATACAGGCAAGAAAACAAAAATGTATTAATACCCCAAGCATCTCTGGCCCTTGGTCAGTATTGATATCTTATGAATTATTCATTTTATCTTTCCTATTACTGATTCACTGGTTTATAAAACATGTTAGAAGAAGTAAGAAACATCTCTACCACATACGTGCTTTTGCTAACCTAAACTCAGATAGATGATTAAGCTAAATTAATACATCAGTGATTTCTAAAATGAGACTTCAAAGATAGTAAAATAATTTGAATTGCATAAGGATACATTTGTCTTAAAGGACAGAACTCTGGATGATTGGAAGCAACTGTCTCCATGGTGAATTACAGAAAAATTGCACTGCTGGAATTCCATAGCAACTTCTTTTTTTTTTTTTTTTTTTTTTTTTTTTTTTTTTTTTTTTAATGCACGTAATTAAAGGAGTAATGGCATTTCACTGCTTGATAGTTCCAGTTCTGAGAACTGTTTTAATTCTCTCTTTAGTGTTTTGTTATTATAAGTAATAACAACAACAAGGAGGATATGAGATCACGATTCAACAGACAGGGTGGACATGCATGTGATTTACAGTGCCAGGCAAGGTGAAACATGTCGCCTTGGCATTATGGATTGCCCTTGGTAACAAATGGAGTTTTTGTTGTACACAATAATAAAGGATAAAGCATACTATTGTCTACTTTGCTACCTCGAAAACATCCAACATACACATATCCTGGAATTACTATGACACACATTTCTAGCACATTTGTAGCCTGTGAAAGGTGGAATGAGGTTCCAGTAAGACAAGTTAATGAGACTCGCCAGGCATTTTCAGAAAATGGATAATTCAGCAACTCTGTCCTACATTAAGCCATCTTGGCTAGGAGCAGTAAATACAGATTAACAGTTTTATATTAATAGACAGAGGTCACTGTAAAATTTGAAAAAAAATAAATACATAATGCAGCAAGGAACACTGCACTTAACATATTTTAATCAGAACGGGGGAAAAAGAAACTAAGAAAAAAAGAAACAGCCTGTCAAACACAGCTAAGGCTTTGCCATTTGTAGTTTGAGCAGCTGTTTATTCCTCCATGTCCTTAATTCACAATTATTTGTCTAGGCTTTCTATAGTGTAAAAGAGATTGAACATTAAACACAATCATTGCAAGGAAGTTTCTATATATAGGCAAGGTGACTACTGTCATTAGAAAAATGATTTTATTCTCAGGAAGTTCAATGAACTTTTATTTCCTCCAAGTTAGTGGGTTTGTTTCCTTTTCTTAAGATTCTGTTAAAATTTACATCAAGTTAATAAAAAGCTAAAGATGGACCAGAGCCCTGATTGAAGAATCAAAACTTTGTCACAAAAAGAAGACTCCAGACCTGGGAAGCTCATGAACATTTTCGGTAACAAAACTCAGCTGTCCAAGAAGGTCCACAGAAAACAGCCTAGCACAGGGTTGGTTAGTTTCCCCTGCCATAATGCAGCTCTTATTCATTTTTATCTCAGTTTACAGGTTTCTAGGACTGATTGCTCAGGAGCTTACTGTAACACTTTATTAATGTTTGTAAATTGCTTTCACAACCTTAAATGAAAGTGAATATAACAGTATTGTTGCAAAGTATTTTTCATTGATTGCCTAGAGATTCCCAGCAGTCTCCTATTTCACTACAGCAACATTAATAGAGAGTCTCTTATATAAGAACCAGTAGAAACGAACGTTTAAGATCCTCAGAGTGAACCACCCACTATATGGAGGAGAACCCTCAAGCATTTCCAACAGCATTATATCTGAAATAGAAAGTGCAAAGCATGCTTTATCCTTTATATCTTGTAAATCCAAATGCATCTTGAAAATTTGAATACTTTAAAGATGCATTATACAAATTATCCAGGAAACCGCATTTCATCTTGAAGGCCTGTAATACTATCAAGACTTGGCAATGGCTAGGAGCTGTGTGTTGACATATATTGTACCCTCTTAAGGACTTTGCTGCAGAACCATTCCCTGATTGTACAAGCTACTACCAGGAATTAATAAAATAGCAACATAAGACATGGCTTATAAGAGTGATGTCTAATCACATACCTAGTATAGCTAATAGCAGAGATTCTGTCCATGGTATAATGTTTGTTACTGTTCAATAAGAACAATAAGCTGTCCCGTAAGTAAAATAAATGTTTTTCTCTATTTACAGTTGAAACTGCAAATGTAATAACCCATAAAGTACACAATGCCTAGCAACCGTACATACAACAATGTTTTTTGGGCCTAAACATAAAAGCTATAAACTGAAAATAAATGTTCCTATTGCTGCAAGATTGAGCTCCTGGTTTTGATATCAAATATTAGCATCTTACAAAAAAACAGGCACACAAGCAGGCAGGCAGTCTGATTTCCAGAGTGAAACCCTGCATTCACAAGTTTTCTCCTTTGTGGATCTTCCCATCTTTAAAACACTTCTCTAAGCTTGGCACATTAATTAGGTCTGTCTCTTTCATTGGCTGTCTTGCAGCAGCTTACTAAGTGGCCTTCCCCCAGGGCAAATATATATATATATATTTTTCTCCTCCACACAGCCATGTATTTTCACTAGAATTTCAGGAAAGTAATTTTCTTTCAAAACTTCCAAATAATAACAGTATTTGGACTTAAAAAAAAAAATCAGTCAAAAAATTATCAGGTAAGGGATAGAAACACACAGCCATCTCACTCAAATATGTGTTACTGTAATCACATAAGCCTTTTTTTCATTAGAAACCACAACAAAACTTCAACCATTTTCAGTGCTGATAGGAGCACCAATTAAAAAGCATACACAGATAGCACATAACACATTTCAGGTGCCAGTTCAGCATACCATCTTTTTAAAACATCATCCACACTCATCATCATAAGGTTTTTAAGTTGTTAACATACCTCAGTAGCAGTAACATGCTTTAAAAACTACACCTACTAAAACCAACTTTACTTATGGCTGACAGCACGCTCTGATGATGCCAGTGAGATTTTTCCAAGCTAATGATATCCTTTATACAGATAGAAAAGAAACATTACAAATGTTTTTCCTGAAAGAGGCTGTAGGTAACACACATGCTCAACAACCCCAAACCAAATGCATGATATTGCATTTTGAAAAAGAGAGAAGCCAACAGGCTTTATAGACTACTGGTTTTCATATGAGGTGGTTGAGTAACCACCAAGCCTGAACTGTACCAGATAGGATGACTTTTAACCTGGCCCATGGCAGATATCTGAGAATGCAGAAAGGACTGAATGGCGAAAATGGGAGTGAGATCCTGATACTCTCTTTTGTTAAACATCAGCAGTGACTACAGAGGTGGCCACTGCAGGCCATACTTTCCACACTCAAAAAAGGCTCATGTTTTTCAGACGATGTCTCCCTTACATCGTTACCCCATCATGGCTAATTAAATCATTGTACTACTCCTCTCTGTGTCATGTCACCTCTAGTTCTGCCTGTCTTGTTGTATATCACTGCAATCCTAATGACATAGCACAAGTCATGTCATCCAGGTACTTCAGAAAGATCCATTATCAACAACAAAGGACATCATAGTTCTAGGTGCTGAATGAGAAAGTCTTTTAATACAGCACCCAATATCTATGCATATCTGGAGAACATAAATCTGTACTGACCTCAAACTGAATTTTAAATAACTTCAGAAATGTTAATTACATTCATAAGTTTAGCATCAAGATGTCAAACAATCTTTAAAGGACTCCATAGTGCAGAGGGTTGTATTCAGCAATTCCAGAGCTCCTGTTCCTATCAGTCACCTGTATCCTGTGGCCACATCAACAGTAAACCTCTCAAACAAACCCCCCAGCCTTCAGCACGTGCAAGAACATAATGGTAGTTACAGACCCTTAGTATTAAGATGCTTAACATGAACCCATTTAGCTTTCAACAAATTTTTTTAATGTCATTGATCCTGCATTTTTTTTAAAGCTACTTTCTGTTCCTTTGACAGATGTGCTATGCTGCATTTCATTACTTTCTCTCCTTACCTCGTTCTTCTGTTGTTTTAGATAAGTGATGAGGCTTTCAGAGAAGATTAAGCACTGGCAGGCAAAGCAATGGCCCAAACACGGTTTTTAATTGGAACCTCAAATCCTGTGGAAAAAATAAGAAATTAAACCATTAATAATTTAACTTTACTAGCAGAGTGAGTCCTTCTTCATGTATCCTTCTTCATATTTGATTTCAACAGGTACAAAACATAGTAGCCAGATCACATTAGAAATAAAATCAAGATCTCAGTGAGGTACACACAGCTGCTTAGAAGTGCTACCCCAAGTAGTTCTCATCTAGGCATGTAGTCTACCGAGTACTAGTAATATGTCAGAATTTACTTAAGCCTCAAGTCTGAAAAGAAAGCTTTCTTCTCTAACATCTAAAAATCTTCCCATTATTGTATAACGTGTATATTTTCCTATGCTGCTACAATACACTCTTTGCCCCGTGAATGCTTGACAGAGTGCAACCATTATATAGCAATATGACTCAAATGCAACCAAGACATAATGCTAAACAATTCAAGCTTCAAGACAAAAGGTAGTGAAAGAAATTTCATTTCTCTTCAGATTGGCAAAGGCTCTAAACATAAATACCTCCATAAAAGTAAACCATAAAAGCAATTTTTTTACAGAGTCAGAGGTTATGTGTTGCAGTATTGGGCAAGCGGCAACCAAATAGCCAACAAAATGAAACGACTTGGCGTATGAGCAGCTTATTTCTGAAAATGAGACAACGTTCTTGCATTAATAATTTTTCTTCAGGTATATGTTCAAAAAAAATCACACATACTTCACAAAAAAACTTTAAACTTTTTTTTTTTCCTTTTTCCTGAGAAATTCGTTTAGTATTTTAAAAGACTAAGGCCAGATTCTTATAGACCAGAATTCTAGGCCAGATTCTTATAGAGAGTAACTGGCATTGATCCAATGATTTTGGTGGACCAGCAGTAATTTGTACAAGTAGCTAATCTGACCAACAGGGTTGAAACTGTCTACATTTTCAAAGGCACGTTAAGGGAGGAGGTGGCGTTTCATTTTCTTACTTGGCTGTTATGGACAGCAAGCATAAGTAAACTTAATTTGGGATTAAAATTGAATTTATGGACCATGAACCTCAGCCACACCAGGCCACTGGAATTCAAAAGACATTTTGTAATAGGCAACTGGTTATCATTAGCTGTGTTCAATTACATTATTACCATTATTCAGTGCAGTAAATATATCTAAAGACTATGTAGAAAGTGGCATTTGTATCTGCTGTAAGACCATGTACTCACAAGAGCACCTTTCAAAATGATAGTTTGGATGAGTAGTGCTTTTATTAAGGGCTGCAGGTTCTCAGGGTGGGGGGTGTGTATTGAACTCTAAATTGATGCTTATAACTAGAACAGGTGGCAATTTAACAATTTTATTATTTTTATAATTAAAATTTCTTTTCTAGACAACGAATTTACTCAAACATATCTCTGAATACTCATCAGTAGAGTTTCTTCAAGCACAGAGGGAATGTTTGGTCAAGATGAGAGTAAGACAAATAGAAAACCACAGTTCAAGTCTCTAGCCTGACAAGTTTTGGAGAAACCCTAAAATCTTTCCCAAAATAATGTTCTTCTTTCTGAATTCTACTCAGGATCCAAATCCACATAAGTCCAAAGCTTTGGTCCACAGTCTGACTACGTAGTCTACAGTTTCCTTTCAAAAGAGTGTCTACCCAAAGACAACACCACATGTACATGATAATCTGCTTGCAATGCTCCTTGGGATTGAAAGCCTTGCACGGCACAGATTAGGTTTTGTCCTAACAGAACCTGCAAGGACAAGGCTACATCTCCCTGCATCATACTCATCTGCCCATTATGTCCTCCCAGAAAGCAGAAGCAGGAGATCACAGCACAAATGCACCACAAAGGCTGTGCAAGAGCCAGTGCAGACCAAGCGCAGTTGACGGAGCATGGTTAATAACCTTGGCACTCAAGCAAATCTGAACACAGTGGTTCAGATGAGTCTGCATCATATTCTCCAGTATTTCTGGTTGCTCCTGAATTATCAATCCCTTTTCCACCACCCAGGTTTGTCAACCTTTCCTCACCCAGCTACATAACAAAGAACATAACAAAGAACAGTTGGATGTTATCGCATGATTAGGTGTGAAGTCAGATGAAACTGACTCAGTGAAAGTTGCCATGGGTGATGGGAATGAATTTTAATCTAAAGACATGGAACCAAAGCAGAGGCAGCCTACACAATCAGCTTCACACCAGAAGTCCTGCTATTCATATAATGACAGACTTGCATATTTCTAATGTTCCAGAGCTGGGAAGCAACTGATGTTCAACACCAGCAATTTAGCCCTAGAAATTTTTAGAGGTTTATAAAACCACTTTTTCTCTAGAAATTCAGAAATGAGTTTGAGGGGAAAACAGGACATTCCTTCCTGAAAACAATTTTAAGTCTAAATATCACTCCACTTCCATCTCTATCAATAAATATTTTTCAACACAACTACTGGGCTTTTCTACATACATTTCAAAAGTATCTTAAACTGAAAGCTCTCCAAGCAGCTTAGCTCCTTTTAGCAAAAAAGAACATTTAAGTCAGTCATTCAATAAATAGCCGTTCAAAGGCATTATTAATGTTTCACAGGAGGCAATTTTAGAGCCTGGTGTTCTAAATGAAGCCCTGGTACTAAGTCTCTGCCTAATTTAAAGAATGTATTTATTTGTCTATGGAGCTATAAAAATAACAGATACAAAAATAACAACCACAATAGCCATCATTATAGTTTTGTAGCCAAGCCTGCCAGAAACAAGAAAGCACATATCTTATCTCGAGCAGTAAAAACAGGACAGCATGGCAGTTTGTCGCCCTCTGGAAATGTGAGAGCCTCCAGGGCATTCAGATTGTGTGCTGCACGTGAGGCACAAGAATGCTGTGGCTGGGATAATTGAACAAAAAAATAATCAAAATTGTTGAGTAGTTTGACTATAAACATACTAATTGATGCTTCAGGCATAGGAAATTCAATAAAGTGGTGAAGCATACACTAACATACAGTAAAAGAAATCTCACAGCAGTCTTCAAATTAATTCACATTTACAGAAATATCATAAAGATATCTTTAAGAGAGGGGAATTATCTCCATCTGACTAACAAACTCTATTTATTTATAGAATAACTACATTGCTTGATTTACTGCCAGCATGCCCTTTACTGTTCCACCAGTTCCACCAGTACATGTCCACTTGCTCTTATTTTACATCAACCAGATTTTTCAGTATTTGGAAGAGGGCCATGCTTCAACAAATCATGATGGACTACAATATTAAATTTCTTCTAAGTTTGCTTTACCATGATGAATATGTTCTTGGAATGTAACAAGAAAAGAAACGTCAGCATCCCCTCCACAGCATGTTTGCGTAAGAATATACTTGAAAGAAGTATGTGAGAGCCTGACATGTCCTTGGGGTATGATTAAAAGCTTGTAAAAGAAAATATTTCAAAAAAGACAGCTCTGACTTTAGCCACCACTGGGGACAAGGGATCTTTCACCTAAGACATGTCAGTCATTCATAGATACAGCTGAAATCATACAGAGAACATATTTTAAAATCTGGTGATTTAGATAGAAACCCCAAGCCAGAGACACCCTGTGGGTGACAAAAATGACACAAACTTTAACTGTGGTTTCATTTTTCATAGTAATAGTGAGCCAAACTTGCTTACTTCAAATTGATAAAACTAAATGATAAAGAAAACTACTATTTTAGAGGAAAAAAGTCCAGGATAAGAGAGAGAAAACTCCATGTAGAACATGATTCTTTAGCAGAGAAGACATTTCCCTAGGTTGTGCTCTAATGCCACATTTGGGCCACACTATCTCAGTTCTGTAGGAAAGGACTGAATTTGTTCAAAGCTGTTGAGATGTTTAACATGTATTATATGTTTTAAGTAAAGCTGACTTTTAATTGCGTCCTTTTCATTAACGATATTATTTCCTATGCTTCAGAGACTGTTCCACTTTTGTGAATCCCCTTATTTCCTTTCTGACAGCAAGACAATTAACCGAGCATAGGGACAAATCCAGCTGTAACTCACAGTAGTTCTTATATGCAATACAGAAACAATTTACACGAGCTCTCATCTCATCCAAAGTTATCATCAACAGTTTCTTTAAATAATAATAATAATAGATTGACCAAAGTGTGAAATCCTAATATCTGAAACATGAAACATCTCTCTGTGTTGATCAAGTCCAGTTCCAGAGTCTATAACTTTCTTCTCCGTAGATGATTCAGTATCCTAGAAGTTCAGGACTGAAGTTAACATTTTCCAATTCTGCACACTGATCTTGTTTCTCTCCTATGTGTGATAGATGGTGTCTAACAAAGAGCATATGCTACAGCCTCAGTAGGAGCATGGGGTGCTGGCAGGGGCTCAGACCCTGAACCCCTAATCACTGCCAACCAACTATGCTGAAGGTTGTCAGCTTGCAAGAATTTAGTGTCTTTGAGTGTCTTTTAGTGTCTCTATCTTTCCATGAAATTCACTCCAAAATAGTGTCAGAAGCAACCAGGGGAAAAACAGATGGGTATAAAGCATAAACGTCCTTCGTAAAAGGGACCAGAACTACATTGTGTAAGAGATGTTTTCCAACTCGAATGAGTAAACTACAAGATCAACCAGAAAACTGCATTGAACTGTGTACAGAGATACTGGGAATGGATGATTCCTGCTGCTCCCCAACACTAATAATGTAAGAAGGTTTAAATTTGTATCAAAGGTCTCAGACGCTTTAACTTAACATTGAACAGTCATCTCCTTGTATAACTAATTCTACAACAGGAAACTCGGTATTTATTCTCGGAGCGATGCTTTCTGTTCCTATAAATCAACTCCTAGCTTCCATTTAGCACCTGCTAGCTGGAGTTCTGTTTTGGTGTTCTGTGTGTTTTGTTTTTCTCTTTTTGGATGTTGAATTGTGTAAATAGATACAAAAGAAAACAGGAGATTTGTTTTTTGCGTCCTTTTGTATGTTTATCTTTTGAAATTAGCTATAATAGTGCCTTTGTATTAATAACAAACCCATTAGTGACAGAC